AACCCAACAAATATACAGACATGACACACAAACAACGCACAAAACCTTCAAACTATCGTGTAAACAATCCTCCAAATTACAGTACACAGGAGTTTTTTAACTAATTGAATCTTTGACTCTTGGAATGGAAGTCTGATATGTTTTCAATAACAATAGTCTTTCTAGTTACTTTCTTCTTCTAAAAATGTGTGCATGTCTTGTGATGCTTATGCCTTTGATGCCTGTAATGTTAGCTTAGCATCTCTGTCTGCTGCACTGTCCTTACACCATACTGTTCCTTTAGCGAGAACACCATACTGTTCCTATAGCGACCATACTGTTCGTATAGCGATGACACCATACTGTTCCCGTATCATCACATAGGCGGTTCAGTAGTGAGGTCACAGACAACACCCACAGCCCAATGGTGTAATGGCAGGGCCGGGGGAAAAAAAGCCCTTCTCATTGGTGTCGCTGATGCAACGGCCAGCCAATCGCTGCGGGAGGAAATTAATCAAATAATCTAATTCAGCTCCATTACAGCGCCTTATCGGCCCTTTGCTCAGGGATATGAGACGACTTTTTCCACCATGAATCACAGTCCACATAGACAGGGTGCAGTGTGTGTGTCTGCATTGATTGTGTATATAAGAGGTCATGGAGAAACCGTTGCCTCGCAAAATTCTGCCTAGCGTGTATATAGCCAAGTTATCGTTACTCACTGTGTATTTATTATTACGTGTTATTACTTCTCTATTATGTCTCCATTTTCTTTCTATCTGTATTGTTGGGAAGGGCCCGTAAGCATTTCACTATTAGTCTACACCTGTTGTTTACGAAGCATGTGAAAAATACAATTTGATTTGATTTGCGCACTTGTTGTGTGCTTTACCCTGGTGTTTCCTATCAGACAGTGAAGCAGGAGTGGCTTTCCAACAGGAAGCCTGCAAAACAAGGCTGAACTTCACAGCTCTGGTGGCACTTTTTAAAAACATCACCACTGACTGCCCCGCCTCCTCCTCCCCCCTCCTTCCACAGAAATGACAAACGTCTGTACTACTCTCCAAAAACTCACCCTCTGTCCCCCTTTCCCTCTCTCCCTCCATATCACTCATCCCCTCCCTCTCCTGGTCTCCAGTGTCAGACCTGGCAAATTTTCTGTCTTTTCTCCTTTCCGTTTCTCCCCCTCTGGGCCAGGGAGGGATGTGTTGTTTTTCTGTCTCAAGAAGGCTGGGGTGGGGGGGGGGGGGCACCTCCTGTGGGACAGACCGAAGGGGCCCTCTGAGCTCCTCGGGGGGGAGAGGGGGTTGGCTCTTCCCTCAGTCGCCCCCTCAGCCTCCGCCCCCTGCTGCTCTTTCCAAACTCAACACACATTTTCCAGAGAAGGGAAGGGGGGAAAATATTTGAATTTAATACCAGCAAAAGCCTGCCAGTGTCCTTGTCGACATCATCTCCCAGGGAATAAAGGGAAGGAAGGTTTTTTATCTTTTTAAATAAGAAATGGCGAGCAGCCCCCCTGAGCCTGAACACAGGAGCACAAACAAACACAGGAGAGAGAGAGAGAGAGAGAGGACGAGGAGGAGAGGAGAGAGAGAGAGAGAGAGGAGAGAGAAGAGAGAGAGAGAGAGAGAGAGAGAGAGAGGAGAGAGAGAGAGAGAGGAGAGAGAGAGGAGAGAGAGAGGAGAGAGAGAGAGAGAGAGAGAGAGAGAGAGAGAGAGAGAGAGACAGATTTTGTGTGTAGGGAAGAGGTGAAGAGAACAAGCAGGGAGGAAGAGAGCAGAGCTAGTGAGAGCACTGGGACTCCCCTTCCTACTGTATCTCACACATAAAGCACATTCCAGCCACCCAGGACCTCAGTCAGCACCCAGCAGAAGCCCCTGCCTCATCACACCCTTGGGGCCTCACTTTCCAATTCCCCCTCCCAGAAGAACCGACAGAGCGAGGGAGGGAGAGAAGGAGGGCAGAGAGAGAGAGCACCGTTTAGATAAAGAACATTCAGCTCTCGTATCTCTCACAGCTGTAAAATAAAATAATACATATTCTCCTTCATAATGTTACACTGAGGACTGACTCAAAGACTAGAGGGCCAACATGTCATTGTCATCATAAGCAGTCAGTCACCATCCTCATACAGTGTTCTGTAAAATGGGTCCATTTAGCTGCTGCATCATCTCCAGGTACAGCCATACCAATGGCTCCATGGGCGTGACTGTGGGTCTGCATTGCATGTAAAGAAAATTAAAGTGGGTGCCATGCTTTAATCAAAGGGACCCTTAAAATGTATCCAAAAAGTGGAACATTGAACAAAATTATCTTGATTGCATTCATCATGACACTATTTGGGCCCATCAGGAACCCATTCCACTGCTGTGCTGTAGGCCCTATGTGAATAGCTGGATAAAGCAGGCTGGGAGGAGGGAGGACAGGGGCGTTGATTCAGTGCAGCTACTTTACCACCAAAACCTCAAACAGGATGTGAGACTGCTGGAGCCCCAGAGTCCTGTCTGCCTGCACATGCAGGCCTGGACATCAGCCTCCTGTGAAAAGCTCTCCCTCCCTCGCGCCATACCTCCCTCTCTCATCCCCCTCTCCCTTGGAGCAGAACATTATGGGCCATGTGGAATTGATATTAGAGATTCCCATTCAATGGGTCGTCTGGCGGCAGAGCTGGAATGTGACATATAGAATCTAATCTGTGTGTCGGATCTGACAGCTGCCTGGCAGGCTGCACCCTTCCAATAACAAAGCAGATACCTGTTTGGACGGACGATGAATCCCAGTTCCCTGCAAACTCCGACGACTCGCCTTCTTCTACCGCTAGAGAGAGGGGGAGAGAGAGAAGGAGAGAAAGACAAAAGAGAGGGATGCTTAGAAATACATACAGTATCTGTAGGATTACATCATTTTGTTGGTTTATCTGAATCCACATGACAATGCCTTAAAAACACACAAAGGTAGACCTCAAAATAAGTGTTCAATCATTCATTAGCTGGGTGGTTGGTGGGAGAAAACATAAAGGGTCCCCTGTCTGTCTGTCTATCCTGAGTGACTGTGTGCCCGTGTGCCCGTGTGCCTGTGAATGTGGTCTCCTTGTTTTGTTTTCATGTACTAATTTCAGAGGTGCGATATATGTAACAACAACAACCAGATCAGAACAGGAATGTGTGATGAAGGTTTTCCTGGGCACTGCAGAGGAAGGAAGCTCCGCTGGCACACAAACAGGAAATGGCAGTAGTCAGGACACAATGAGGACCCCCCCCCCTCCTTCCCCTCTACGCCCCCCCCCCCCCCCTTTCCCTCTACCCCCCCACCCTCCTCCTTCCCCTCTACGCCCCCCCCTCCTTCCCCCCACCACCCTCAACCCCATGGCCCAGGGTATGGGCCAACACCAGTCCAGTGGAAGCCACGAAAACAACCTGACATAAATCAAAACTGTTTTCTTTATTAGGGTGAGGATGAGGTAAAAATAATTCCCAGAGCTAGTATGTAGACACTTTTGAGTTTTTTTGTAAATGTGTGAATTCCCCACCTAAGTTTAAATAAAGTTGAGGAAAAAGAAAAGCTAATACCACACCTAAATACTTACAGACCCATTCCAGAAAAAAATGATATACTCCTCCTATTGGGCTGAGTGTGCAGATTGGACGATGCAGTGGCCAGTGCATTTTCCCATCATGCTCTTGGTCTGTCCAGGCAGAACTCAGCAGGGTGGTCAGAGTGGACTCTATTTCATATTCCCCGACAAAGCCAAGGGCAACAGACCCTGTTTTCCATTCTTCAACCATCCCATGTTCATTTCATGAGTGCGATCCAGATATCCAGAGCTGGGACCAGTGTGTCGGCCAGAAGGCCCAGTCCAGACTCCAGACTCCGAGTGGACTGGCCTTGTTGCTGATGGCCTAGAGCTAAAACCCCTGGAAGACTGGGGTCAACTCTGGTCCTGCACCATAACATCTCTCTCCATCTCTCACTATTCCTCTCTATTTCTCTTTCTTTTCCCTGAGGTAGCCAGGACTTTGCTCAAGCTGAAGCGCTGCCATTTGGCAGCTCAGACTCTCTCTCGACAGTGTCTCTCAGTAGTACCTTTTCACCATTCGTGGAGTATTCCCATAGTACAGAAGACTCAGAGAGTTACCTCTCTTTGGGTGTTTCTGAGGAGAGATCACTCTTCCGGCGTGTTTGGGGGAAACTGTGGGCTGGGTCTGGACCAAGGTGCCATTTGGACTGTAGTATGTATGAGCCCATCCTGCTCTTAGATCCTCCTAGAGGACATTTACTGAACTCCAGGAGTTGTCTGCAGCCCATGGCTCATACATCAGGTGCTGGGGAGGGATTCTAGGGTCTCACTATTTGGACTGTCATATACAGGAATTATACTATTTGGGGAAAAAATACAATTTGTCACGCCCAATGAGGCATTTTCTTAGGAACGAGGACACAGTCTAAACCCCACTGTGTCATAACACATGCTAGATCCAATACAAACGGCGGTCAAAGTCTACAGTCAGTTGATCTTCTTTAAATAGGTCTAGCCTGCAGTGGACCTGTTCATTCCTAAAGACACTGCTTTCCCAGTGGAGGAGGAAAAGCGCTAAATTACACCCAATCAGGGCTCCACTCATCCTCCATTTAGCGCTTCATTAGAGCGGGAATATTAAAGTGTAGTCAGGCAGAGAGGAGAGCAGAGCAGGGTAGAGGAGAAGAGGTGAGATGGTTCTTTTTACAAACACAACTACCAAGTACTACTGTGCTCAGCTAACCTGCAGGCAACAGCACACAGCAACCCCATCCATACACACAACTGTACACACAGCTCCCCAGCAAAAACAAGTGAAGCTCGGGGCACTACCAGACCCCAGCCTCCCACACAGAGCTATAGTGCACTGGGTGTATTGCAGAAAAACCATCCATCTCTGATGGAAGCGGACAGGATCATTACCCGCTTTAAAAACCTCATTTAGAGATTGTGGAGATTACACAGACACCTATTGATCGGTCTGGGCTTTCCTGGAATGATTAATCTCCAAATGTTGCCAGATTCTTTTTTCTAACCATTATTTAGATTCCATTCCACTACATTTAAGAATGCAGAAGGCAATCACTCGGATAGAGTTCAGAGGCAATGCAGATGCTCACACTATACACTGAACCATACACCGTCTTGTTGCTATGGAGAGGCATGGTCAGGAAAGGGGGAAAAGGAGGGGAATGCCAGTGCTGACGGGCCGGGGTTTGGGGCTTGGCCCTAGAGATGTGGACACAGGACGGGATACAGATGTTTCCCGGAGCGATTGGTCCTGGGGGCGAGACCGAGCCCACATTACCAGAAACACACTCTGAAAAGAGCCAGTGGAGGATAGAGACAGACCTCACACCACGATCACCAGGCAGACAAACAAAGCAAGAGAAACAGACAGAGAAAGAAAAAGAGAAGGGGGAGATAAAGAAAACGATCATTAGAAAGAGATAAAAACACCATTCTAATAAAAGCATTTGACCGTGGGGAATTGCTCGTCTTCATTAGCAGAGAGGATATATTTATTTATTTCCAGATTTACTCTCCCTGCCTGCATCCCATGTGTACCGTGCACTGTTCATGTGAACCCTGAAGCCAGCGGGAGGTAGAGAGAGTGGGAGAGTAGTGGAGGGGGGAGACTGCTAAACAGAGGCAGAGAGAGTGGGAGTATGTAGCAGAGAGAGAATGTAAGGTAGGAGAAGTATATACAGTACTACTTTATACACAGTTGGTCCCTCCCCTGTTTTTAAATTCCCTCAGAAGCTCTGTGACATCATCATTAACCTACAGTAAAACAGCCCTGTGAGAGGAACGGGTGGTCTAATGACTCCAACATGTTTCAATAGGTTACCTTGGATACCCTCTGTTTCCTACTTACACTGACCAGCCTTTGCCAAAACACACACCGGGGCTGTGAGAGAAATGGGAAACTGATACCTATAACTCAACAACCAGAACGGGATCCCCTTTTGCCCTCCTCCCCTCCCCTCTCAGTCCACACACTACTGAGGTGTGATTTAGCCCCTCTTTCACCAACTGGGACCATTTCCACAAATCATAACCTAAGTTACAGACTGATCGTACTCAGTATTGGTGTTCCTCCCAGACCGTTCCACTATAACAGTCCCCTACCCTCTCTAAACACCTGTCAGTATTGAGCTGAGAGTATGTGAGCCAGGTAGAGAGGGGTTAACAACTCCTAGCTCCCAGAATTGCAGGGGCAGGCTCCTCTCCCGCTGCCTCCCTCTTTAAACTATTATTTAAGAGATAGAAAAAACACAGCTCCCCAAAGGGGCACACACAAACACACACACACCCAATCCTTGACACCATTCTATATTATTGAAATTACTCCTCTGTTAATTGCTGCTCTGGCGGTGGGAGCGCGTGCTGCTATTTGCATTTCTGGGCCCGTTAAGCAGTGTTAAGCTGCAACATTATGACACACAAGCTAATGTAGCTAGGGTAGCGTTGCTGTCGGCAACACAGCAATCAGCATAGCAGCGAATGGCACGAGGGTAGAGATCAAACGAGACCACTCTCGACGACATCACAAATAGCGAGCGTGAATTTACCAGACAAAAGCCCCTGTGCCAATAGGGGGGATGGGAGAACAACGCTGTGTTCCAAACGTGCCCTTTCTAAATGAGCGCTTTTATTTATCCAAGGAATGATGCGTGTGCTCCTCCACAGAAAGCAAACAAGGTGCCGGGGACCTCGGGGAACACACCCAGACCCCCTATCAGACAAAGAGCCTACCTCACACAGCCTCTTCATACAACCCCAAACACACACCCCAGGGAGTGCCTTGCATTGACAAAGAGAATGTTCCGGTATAGGCAGTAAAGACAGTAAAGATAGCCTCAGTCTGCAGTCATGTTCTAGACCAGCGTTTCACAAACTCGGTCCTTGGGACCCCAAGGGGTGCACGTTTTGGTTTTTACCCTAACACTACACAGCCGGTTCAAATGATCAAATCTTGATGATTAGTTGATTATTTGAATCAGCTGTGTAGTGCTAGGGCAAAAACCACAACGTGCACCCCTTGGGGTCCGAGGACAGAGTTTGGGAAACCCTGTCCTAGACCTTCTGTTAGTACACTGTAGAACACAGGTCCAGTGCTAGACACATACAGAAAGAAAGAAAGGATAGATAGAGAGAGAGAGAGATGAAAGGCTGCTTCAATATGCAGATCGGATAATGAACAATCTAACAGAAGGAAATGTAAAGGAGAGTGGTTTCACCTGGGCCCAGCTCCACTGCAGCCGTCTGCAGGAGAGGTAGACACAGAATACGTAATGTGTGTGGAGCCGCTCCCCTGGCCAGGAGGGGCGGGCCGCACAGTCCTGCTGCTGGCCCCCGGCCATTCTGTCTGATTAAGTCTTCTACACTTAAGGGATAAAACCCTGCTCTCCCCATCTCCCACTGGAAGCCATTAGCAGCCCCCTATTCGCAGGTCCATGAGAGTGTGTGTGTGTGTGTGTTGTACAGAGCATGTGTGATTGTATGAATCTTTAAATGCATCCGATAATGTGTGTGTGAGTGTACAGGCCTGTGTGTGTATGCGTGTACTAGAGTGTGTGTATGTGTGTACTAGAGTGTGTGTACTAGAGTGTGTGTATACAGTGGGGGAAAAAAGTATTTAGTCAGCCACCAATTGTGCAAGTTCTCCCACTTAAAAAGATGAGAGAGGCCTGTCATTTTCATCATAGGTACACGTCAACTATGACAGACAAAATGAGGGGAAAAAAATCAAGAAAATCACATTGTAGGATTTTTAATGAATTTATTTGCAAATTTTGGTGGAAAATAAGTATTTGGTCAATAACAAAAAGTTTCTCAATACTTTGTTATATACCCTTTGTTGCCAATGACACAGGTCAAACGTTTTCTGTAAGTCTTCACAAGGTTTTCACACACTGTTGCTGGTATTTTGGCCCATTCCTCCATGCAGATCTCCTCTAGAGCAGTGATGTTTTGGGGCTGTCGCTGGGCAACAAGGACTTTCAGCTCCCTCCAAAGATTTTCAATGGGGTTGAGATCTGGAGACTGGCTAGGCCACTCCAGGACCTTTTAAATGCTTCTTACGAAGCCACTCCTTCGTTGCCCGGGCGGTGTGTTTGGGATCATTGTCATGCTGAAAGACCCAGCCACGTTTCATCTTCAATGCCCTTGCTGATGGAAGGAGGTTTTCACTCAAAATCTCACGATACATGGCCCCATTCATTCTTTCCTTTACACGGATCAGTTGTCCTGGTCCCTTTGCAGAAAAACAGCCCCAAAGCATGATGTTTCCACCCCCATGCTTCACAGTAGGTATGGTGTTCTTTGGATGTAACTCAGCATTCTTTGTCCTCCAAACACGACGAGTTGAGTTTTTACCAAAAAGTTATATTTTGGTTTCATCTGACCATATGACATTCTCCCAATCCTCTTCTGGATCATCCATATGCACTCTAGCAAACTTCAGACGGGCCTGGACATGTACTGGCTTAAGCAGGGGGACACGTCTGGCACTGCAGGATTTTAGTCCCTGGCGGCGTAGTGTGTTACTGATGGTAGGCTTTGTTACTTTGGTCCCAGCTCTCTGCTGGTCATTCACTAGGTCCCCCCGTGTGGTTCTGGGATTTTTGCTCACCGTTCTTGTGATCATTTTGACCCCACGGGGTGAGATCTTGCGTGGAGCCCCAGATCGAGGGAGATTATCAGTGGTCTTGTATGTCTTCCATTTCCTAATAATTGCTCCCACAGTTGATTTCTTCAAACCAAGCTGCTTACCTATTGCAGATTCAGTCTTCCCAGCCTGGTGAAGGTCTACAATTTTGTTTCTGGTGTCCTTTGACAGCTCTTTGGTCTTGGCCATAGTGGAGTTTGGAGTGTGACTGTTTGAGGTTGTGGACAGGTGTCTTTTATACTGATAACAAGTTCAAACAGGTGCCATTAATACAGGTAACGAGTGGAGGACAGAGGAGCCTCTTAAAGAAGAAGTTACAGGTCTGTGAGAGCCAGAAATCTTGCTTGTTTGTAGGTGACCAAATACTTATTTTCCACCATAATTTGCAAATAAATTCATTAAAAATCCTACAATGTGATTTTCTGGAAAGATAATTCTCAATTTGTCTGTCATAGTTGACGTGTACCTATGAGGAAAATTACAGGCCTCTCTCATCTTTTTAAGTGGGAGAACTTGCACAATTGGTGGCTGACTAAATACTTTTTTTCCCCACTGTATGTGTACTAGAGTGTGTGTATGTGTATACTAGAACTGCAGCCCTACACCCTGGGAGCCTACCCAGCAGGCTGCAGCCCTACACCCTGGGAGCCTAACCAGCAGGCTGCAGCCCTACACCCTGGGAGCCTACCCAGCAGGCTGCAGCCCAGAGCAGAGCCCCATTAGAGTCCTGCTAGAGCCTGAGCCTTAGCCAGACCCCTTCATTAACATGAACTCTCACTGGATCCACAGGCCCACCGCCCCAGCCCTGCACCACCCCACACCCCTTACCACAACACACACCCACCACACCGCATCACCCTGCAACGTGACAAGCAGCAATGGCGCAGTCCGCAGCCAGACACACAATCAGGCCTCATGTACACGGAGCAACACACACACGCACACACACCCAATCGAACCTGAATTATGGCTGTTTGATCTCCACACATAAGATGGAGGAGAGCTCCATCTCTATAAATGTGTAAAACAGACAGAGAGAAGAAGACATAAACATGAAAGAGTTGAAATCATTACAAACTCGCAGTGTTTCCCCAACACTCCAGCGCGCTACTTCCTAGTTCTATTAGCCATGTACAAATGGAGCTGTTCTCTTTTAGAAGCCTTTGGGTGTTCACTTCTCTTCAACTCACATACTGCACAGGGTCACACTGATAGCATGCATCCTGAACAAACCCAAGACTGACTGAACAGTAACATCTATGGGCTGCCTAACTATTTAGAATGGCTGATTACTGTCCTTTTTACTGATTGTGTCTTTTCAAACCAAATTGTCCTCTACGACCACACACATACACACACCTCGAGCTACAGGTACAGCCAATGGCTTTTCCATAGACATAGCAGAGGGAAAGACAAAGAGTCTTGGGTTTCAAGATAATTCATCAAAGATAAAAGCCTGGCTTGTTCTGCATGGCTTAATAGATTTTAATAGCTGGGAGAATGATGGGGACATGCATAGTGCAGTCTGCATGTGATGGACCAAACCCCCCTAGGGAGCTAGCAAAACTACTGACGACACCCATCTCCTCACACACACAGCCCTGCTCACATGATCTGACACACACACAAACTCTCTCTCATTCTCCTACACACGCATTCACTCATGAGAGACTCACTCACTCTGTCTCATCCTCTCATACATTCATACATACAAACACAGTTGGGGATTAGGGCTTGGTGCTAGACCGTGTTCACTCTTGCGGCTCACTACATTGTGCGCAAACACACAAAGACACGCGACTGGAATAAAAGAGAATTCCTCTGCCAGTGAAGAGAGCTGAACATCACTGTAGTCCTGACTAGAAGGCCAGCAGCCACACTGACTTGCACGTTCGGACTTCCACAGGGGAGGACTAAACCAACTCAACACTAACAGCAAGACAACAACAATGTAGTCTATTAGGTCATTCATCAAAGTGATGGGAGTGTAGAGCTGAGTGCTGCAGTCAATCTACATCGCAATCCCCCCTCTACTCACCCCCACTGCAGCTAAAGCTTCACCACAACGCATGCAGGGCCCCATTGTCTGCCCTGCTGTTCCCCTGCCGTTCCCCACCAAACCCCCGAACCATAATCAAATGACAACATGGGCACAATGGCAGGGATGGCAATTCCCAGGGTGCTCCTCTGCGCTACCTGTGTTCACAGAGGTAGTGTGGACAGAGAGGGCTGAGAGGGGGCTGCAGGGGCCCTTATCACCACAACGGGTCACTCTGGCCAATCACACACTGGCTACAGGCCCAGGAGGGCGGGGGCCTGGAATTTCCTGCTGGACAGGACACAGGCACATAGATCCAACCCCCACTTCCATCCCCCACCCCTGTCCCCACCTCCTCCCCCCTCGGATCCAGGGGGGCTCTCCCATTGGCTGGCTTCAGTGTCCCTCTGGTCACCGCCACTCCACCACTGGCCAAGCGTGATGCCAATCTGCAGCCCAAGCCGTCCCCCGGGGAGCTCTAACGTCAATGGTCTGTCCTCCAAGCCACCACCATGGGACAGGGACAGAAGCTGATTAACCAAATACTTTTATCAGCACTGAAACCGCTCTGCCGCACAAAACAGCCTTAAAAACACAAACCACCACCACTGGCCAGAAAAGCACAAATGGGTAAAGGGGGAAAACAACAGAGAGCTTAGATGGCACAGAGAAAAAAACACAAAGCTTGACGGGCCCACAGCTCTGCCGCTCTCACTGAGGGCATTGCTGCTCCAAAATCCTGTCGAGCAGTCCAGCTACTCCCCCCCCTACCCCCCACTAGCCCCCTCCCGTACCCGCTAGCCCCCTCTACAGGAGCAAGGGTTTAGAGGCTGGAGAATGCTGGAGGACTAGAGGACAAGCGAGAATGGAGAGAGCTGGAGAGCGAGAGCAAGAGAGAGAGGATAGGGGTGGAAGAGCAGAGAATGAAGGATAAGAGCGTGGGTGGATGGCTAGCAGCGGTTGTGGGTTTTCAGGTTCGGTCTTCTCAGGCAGCTCTTGGCTGATGCCCTGCGGAGAACTTGGTTAGTCTGAGCCAAGCAGAGCTCTGTGAAGAGCACACCGTCTCCCTGGCTTGATCACTCACTCTCTCTCTTGCCTGGAGCATCCAAGCAGCACCCACGCCAAGACTCAGCCTTAGCCCCAGCTCTACAACCATAGGAGCACTGGCAGAACCAACCCCTGACACAACCACCAGATAAAGGCCTTTTCTTTTTGGACTGAGTCAATGGAGGAGCAAAATGCCTGACTGGCGTACTATATTCCACCACAAAGCAGAGTTCCACAGCAGGACAGGATCCACCTGGCTGGTCTCCAACCAACACCAGAGCAGCAGAGATGAGGGGTGTCAGGTGTGGAAGGCTCTGATCACTCTCTGTTGCCTGGATCAAACAGAGACACACACACATGCACTGAAGACGCTCTGTTCGAACAGGATCTGAAATCAGGGTCAAGTAAGAGCTGGGACACTGGTGACTCAGTGGAAGGGAGAAAAGGGCCAAAGGGAAATGGAAGGCAGGTCAATTCTGTTTCCACTCACAGGATAGGTCCTGTGTCTTCACAAAGCTGTGGTTTTACCACACACACACACACACACACACACACCTCCTTTCCTGAAGAAAGCCCTGGGTGCTGTGTCAAGCCCTGGGTGCTCTCCCCGTTCCTTTTGATTCTGCACTGTCTGCGTCTGTTTGCACTACCTTTGTCTCAGGCAGCTAAGGAATCCACACTCAGCTTCAGAAACAGCGCCAAGAGATTATCAGCCAACAACAAATCCACCCTTCTCAACACCAAGAGAGAGAAACACTCAACTTTACATTTACACACACACACACACACACACACACACACACACACACACACACACACACACACACACACGTCTGTCTCCGTTATGTTAGAGAGCAGACAACACAGTGGAAGATTAAAGGGCCTCTCAGATCTCCAATGTGGTTTTTCATCCTTCTCAACTGTCAGAGCAGAGGGGAAAATGGTTTCAATATACCTCCAGCTTGTACATAAAACACCAGAGAGAGAGGAAGAGAAAGAATGAAGGAGGGAGGGAGGGAACGGGGGACAGAAAAGAGTAATAGGAACATTTGTGAAGAGAAAAGCAGACATGATTAAATCACAAGGGCTGCCTCCCGCTGTCATTGAGTGTGACACAGGTTCACAACGGAACACACTGGGGGGCGACGAGGTAATCACGTTCCAAACGCTCCGCTATGATGCCATCAAAAGGGGACGGGATAGAGAAAGAGACAGACTTCTGTCCCTCCTCCCCACCCCCACTCACACCCCCCACCCCATCCAAAAAGGCAGCATTTGACTGGTGACCTAGGAGGAGGAGGAAGGCCTCTCTGGATTAGAAAACCTCAGGAGACCCTACAGGAATAGATGTGCTGCAGAGAGCTACACCACCACCAATAATACTGTACCCAACTCACAGCCGCATGTACAGATAGAGAGAGCGAAACGGTCATATAGACATGCACAGAGACAGGGAGAGACATACACATGCAGACAGACACATTCACAAGTACAGGGTAACACAGCCACACAGGGAGACAAACATACACAGACATGCAGAGACACAGGCACACATGCACTTAGGCTGCGTTTACACAGGCAGCCCAATTCTGATCTTTTTACACCTATTGGTATTTTGACCAATCAGATCAGCTCTTTTGCTAATAATTGGGAAAAATATCAGAACTGCCTGTGTAAACGCAGCCTTAGGGAGATATACACACATATTCACCAACCCAGACACACACAAAGACAATTGCATCAGACTCAGAGAGGACCCGGGGCTGCTTGGGAGAGAGAGGCAGAATGGGGACCCTTAATTGCCTTATCCTGTAGTACAGGCTGGGGAGTGCTTTTTGACTTGAGATTCCAATTTCACACTAAGGCATTATTTAGTTTGATACAGACTTGATTAGGCATTACAGCAGGCCCTTTTTCTGGAGGAGCTTTGTGGCTCTCAAATCACTGGAGGAAAGATTAACTCTGCAGTCACGCTCCTTCTGAGACCCACAGCCTCACACAGCCTGCTTGGTGTGGCAGGGGAGGGTTCATCTGATCCCAAACACAAACGCATTCAACTTTTACCAATTACCAGAAAGTCTCCTCAATCACTGCCACTAACTATAGTAGGGCCTTATAAAATCTGTTTTGTTTGTCAACTTCGCACCAACCAGAGACCGTTGTTTGGTTAGCGATATTTCTGTAGCGCACATGTGATTGCAGAAATGGCCACTGGATTGATGCAAATAATCATGCTATCATTCTGACAGGTAGGCATAGCCTACTTCGTAGTTCACAATTGAGAAGGTTTTTGGGAACCTGGTAGATGGAAAGAAGACGGTAGTCATTACATTAGCATCATCGCTAATGGCTACACAAAGTGGTAGACAAACGCGCACACACACATAGGGGTATTCTTGTGCCGTTGCCTCTTCAGAAAGTTGAAGGGAAATACGAATCACTGATGCATTTTGTAAATGTCTTATGATAATCTTGGGCAAATGTATGCATTTTTTAATAAGTTCAATACATTTAGTTGATTTCCTACTAAGTTCAATAAAATGTTTTACATTGTTGAATTCCGTTTTAATGTCTGGACTATTTTAGCTAGACGGACCGTGCTGAGAAAGGGAAAAGTTTACAGATGAAGTTGAGGTGAAGGTGCATGACTATGGAAAACCCTAATAACTACCAACTACTCCTTCAGTGTAGAAGCTCAGCAGGGCATTACCATGGACATGGTGATGCAGGGCACCACCCTAATCCAGCCTCCTCTGCCCTCCCAACTCCCCATGTATGTTTGGGGAAGAGGAGAGGACGGTCCCTGGACTGCCCATCAACACGGCTGGACCAGGCTGAGGCAGGCTTAGACTCTACATTTTTAAAGCAAAGATCCATCGACCAACACAGGGGCCCCACAGTACACAGCTATATCCTCTCAACCTTACTCCTATTCTCTTTCTGCAGACTCTCACGCTGTCTTTCAGCCCGTTTGATGGTGACATAAAGGATTTATTAGGGGAAAGAAAAACAAGAGAGAAAATACTGATTTTATATATTTTTTAAGACTTCTCTTCTCTTTTGACTCCTTCCTGCACACACACCTTCGCATAGTCTGAGTGATGGACTCAAAAGCCTCAGACAGCAGTCTACTCAGACAGTGCAGCCCTTAGAGAGGCACTCACAGATAGATGGTTTCAGTGGACACTGTTGGACAGCTAACTCTTCATAGACTACTCTTCTTGTTGTTTGGCTGGTGGGTCGGCTCAATCCTCATTAGACTACAAGCTAAACATCCCTCTGGACCTCTGCACCTCGTTCCCACACCCACCTCTATTCTCCAGTGGCTTCCAGTCACTCATGGCATTGTAGGTAGAATAATACAGAGCTGTGACTGGGAGCTGTGAGCAGAGACCTTCCTTCTCATCTTCACACATCTCAACATATGGACTCAAGCCCTCCCTGCTTCTGTACATCAACACATCAATTCACACGCACCCCAATTCTAACCCTAACCCTAATTATAACCCTAACCCCTAAGCCTAAAATAGCCTTTTTCCTTGTGGGGACCAGCAAAATGTCCCCAGTTGTCCGAATTTTCCTTATTTTACTATCGTTGTGAGGACTTCTAGTTCCCACAAGGATAGTAAAACCAAAAACACACAACTTCCCTGATTGGCGCTGACTGGCGCCGGAGAAGATGGCTGCCGTTTTATAGCCCTCTAACTAATTGTACTATTATGTGTGTTTTTCCGCGTTATTTGTAATTTATTTTGTACATAATGTTTCTGCCATCGTCTCTTATAACCAAAAAGAGACAGCGATTACTCACCTCGTATTGGACGAATAATTTTTCTTCATCGAGGCGGCCGCGAAGGATATCCTACAGACACCCGACAAGGCCCAAATCCCAGTCATTCGCATGAGGAAGAAACTGAGATATCGTGGACGTAGGTCGGGGTGCCTTGTAAGGATCCGACGGCGAGCGAGTAAACTGCCGCTCCCATCAATCCTATTAG